TATATATATATATATATAGTATGTATGTATGTATGTCTATATATTTATACATACATGCAATACACACACACACACACACACATATATATATATACATACATATACATATATATATATATATATATATATATATATATATATATATATATATATATATATATATATATGGATCTCGCACCGATAACTTCTCACTTTGACCAATATATCCGGAGTGGCCAGCTTGCGAGTCGTCAAACTGAAACGTGACCACCATTTTGCATGTGAACAAACGCGAGACAGTTCTTCCAGCACTAATTGGATTTTCAACCTTATGGGGGTTTGCATTTGACCACATATTAACCAATTCTCTGTAGATTATTCGCATTTTATCCCGTAATATTCCTGATACCATTCATGTTCTCCCTGGTATTGTGGGTAAATGGGGTGGGGGGGGCGGCGGTAAAAGGTGATCGGTCATGTCAATGTATTCTGATTATTTACCCCTTCCCTTGGGTCCATATTCTGTTATCTATTACAGATCGTATTAGCTCTAATAGACCGGTCTCTAGCATCTATCGGCACGTCCCGGCCAAGCGCGATTCCCATTGGCTCATTTGAATTCCCGCGCTGACGTCATCCGCTACAAATCCATCCGTTCGCGCCATTTTTTTCGTACGTGTTACAGAGAGCCTATTTTTTTTTTTGTATGTTTTTTTTTTTTTTTGTTAGGTTTATATCCTCAATGCTACACTTATCATTAAATTGCGAAAAAAATGTTATTGAAGAAGTGTCTTGGAATATTACATTCTATCGGATGGAATAATAATAATAAAAATAAATGTTATAGAAGAAAAGTGTCAGAATGTTACATTCAATCGGATGACAAGGTTAGTTTCTTCAGTTTCGGAGTCGTGTAATTTCCAAAAATACCTATTAATTTTTAAAGGATTTCGGACAGAACATCGAACTGCCACCTAACAAAACTCTATCTTACTGCAGAATAAGAATCCAAAGAAAACGGTTTGCCATGATTCGAAGGGCGGTTAATTCACGCTCCTTCCCCTACATTTGGCTGTGGATATTCACCCTCATCAGCATCCGCACGGCCGTCTGCGAAACACCTTCGAACCGGCGTTAGTATTGGATGATCACACTTATGTGGAAAATTTATATTGGCATACTGAAGACTATCTTCCTGACAAATATGAAAACTGCGGTTCATAGTCCTCCTGGATATTCAATCTCTTAAGATTTATGATACGTCACACTAGTTTTATTTTTTTTATTTTTTGCTAATATCAATTTTTACTTCCCTGACGCAGAAGTAAAGATACAGACTATAAACTACAATTGGGTCGACGAGGAAAAGGTAGAAGTGACGGTGTGTCTCGAGAGCGAGGCGGACGGGACCCCCTTCGGGCAGCTCGACCTCCTCGTCACCAACGATCTCGGGAGGGCGTGGCGGGCCCGAGGAGGAGGAGCAGGAGGAGGAGGAGGAGGAGGAGGGGCGTCGCGGAAAACGGAGGAGGCTTTTTGCTTCGCCGGGTTGAGTCTCGAGAAGAAGGACTTGGCCAAGACGTTGAGATTCAGGGTCTTGGAGACCGGCAGGGATGAACCTGTTCAGGAACTGGAGACGTTCGTCGTAGGTGAGCCATCGCTGTGGGATTTTCGTTCTTCGGACCAAAGAGGCGCCCCTCAAAAAATTGTAAATCAAATCGAATATTTCTCTTCATCATATCAAACATATTTCATTACCATGTGAATGTATAATTGAATGTAACCATACGTCTGCTTCGAGTGCAGTCCCAGAGGTGACTCCCGCGAGCGAAGGCGCCTACGAAATCTGCTGGGAGGATCCCGAAGGACTCGCCTTCGCCCTGGCCGAAGGAGGCGTCGCTCGGCCGCTCGTCGCTCCCTCGGCCGGATGCCACGAGTGCTGCCTCGCCGTCGCCCCGAAGGTGAGGGCGCCGGAGGGATCTGCGTGCTTGGGAATTTCCCTCGACTCTTTCTCTTTCGTTCTCTCCCTTTTGCTTCCTTTATGTCTCTCCTTTTTTCATTCTCTCCCTTTATGTCTATATTTATCTATCTATCCATATATATATATATATATATATATATATATATATATATATATATATATATATATAATATATATATATATATATATATATATATATTTCTCGTTGCATTTCCTGCCTCACAGAAACTTATCTCTGCGTGATAAGAGATTACACAAAGGACAAACACTCCAGAGAGAAGGTTCTCGTCCCAGCGTACCCCTCCCCCTCCCCCCCTCTCCCCTTAACAGCTGGGGCAGGAGGAGGCAATCTCTGGGCGCTCTTAATGCACAACAACTCGTGCCACTCTTTACTCCTTCGGCATTCACTTCGTCGGTCTTTAGTTCTTTGAATCTGATTGTCTCTTCGGTCTTGTCCACTGCTGGACCAGCTGTTTCGAAACACTTCCCTAAAGAGTGTTTGCGTCAGCCAGTGTATTTTTTTTTTAGTGGCTGATAAGTTGCGATAATCAGTTGCATTGTATTGTTAATGATAGGACGGTTACCAATACTACTGCCACAACAGCCAATACAGTTACAATGACAGCTGCTACTGTTATAAATACTACTACGACTCCTGCTATCACTACTACTCCTTTTGAAGCTATTACTACTACTTCAAGTATTGCTTCTGTCACTTCTACTACAACTATTACTAAAGTTATTGCTGTCACTTCTAATCTTACAGCTATTACTACTACTACAACTATTACTACAGTCACTGCTACAACTATTATTGATACTATCGCAACTATCTGTTCCTCTTGCTTCTGTTTATGATAATGGCAATGCATTTTGCAGAAACAAAAGTACTGTTGATGATAACAATAGTAATGGAAATGGTGATGATAATGATAATAAAAAATAATAGTAACAGTATAATATTATCACTCTATAATTCATTATCAGTTTAACAAAAACAGTATGACGGTAATGATGATAAAGATAATGATAATAGTGATAATGATGATAATGATGATGATATTAATAATGATAATAATATCAATAACAATAATAATGATAATAGTAATGATAATGTGAATAAAGATAATGATAATAATAATAATAATAAACATAACCCCATCAACAACAATAATAATAACAATAATAATAACAAAAATGATAATGATAATAATAACGATTATAAAAAAAACCCATAAAAGAATGAATAACAGTTTTCTCCTTCCACCCCTCCCTCCCTTCCCTTCCCCCCTCCCCCTGCAGAATCCAGGTGACCTCGTGACCTTGGAAACAGCTGGCGCAAAAGACCTCAGACAGCTGGTGCAAATTCGTCTGCCCGCTGACCTGGCTGGCGGCCGTGAGTAGCTCGGTTTAGCTTTGTATTCTCTCTTTGTGTTGGAAGAGATGCTGTTAAAGGCGATGGTGTTGGTGATGGGAAAGGGACTAACGGCCAGGGCGGTAATGGGTGATATATCATAACGCTAATTGCAGAGGGAGGGATATATATATATATATATATATATATATATATATATATATATATATATATATATATATATATATACACACACTCAAACAAAACACACACACACAACACACACACACACACACACACACACACACACACACACACACACACACACACACACACACACACATATATATATATATATTATATATATATATATATATATATATAATATATATATATATATATATATATATATATATATATATATATATATATATATATATATATATATATATATATATATATATATATATACATATATATATATATATATATATATATATATATATATATATATATATATATATATATATATATATATATATATATATATATATATATATATATATATATATATATATATATATATATATATATATATATATATATATATATATATAATATATAATATATATAATATATATATATATATATATATACATATATATACATATACATATATATATATATATATATATATATATATATATATTATATATATAATATATATATATATATATATAAATATATAATATATATATATATATATATATATATATATATATATATATATATATATATATATATATATATATATATATATATATATATATATATATATATATATATATATATATATATTATATATATATATATTTTTTTTTTTTTTTTTTTCCCAGAAATAATGAGGATAACAATACTTTATAATAAAATTAACAATAATGATGATACTAATGATAATGATAATAATTATTGAAAGTAAGAGAGCAGATAGATACATTATCGCTTTAACAAACCTCTGCCTTCTTTTTTCTTGTCATTGGGGTTGTAACAACCTTTGAAAAATGAAACAATGATGCTGTGTCGATAAGATACCTTTCCTTTATTCTAGTAATATGTGAAAAGTGTGTATATAGGTATGTGTATATATGTACAGCACATACATTTTTTTTTTTTTTTTTTCAGAAATGAAGCCACATGCAGCACGAGTTCCTCTCGCCATCAAGGAGCTCCACAAGGTGCCCAGGGAAGACGACCCGAGCGGAAAAAGTCAGAATATGAGGGTTTTCTTGGATCCTCACGAAGCCAAAGATGCAGACGACTTTCAGCTTTCTTTAACTCTGGCATCAGGCGCGGGACAGGAAACTCATTTCCTTTATAAAATCATCGATGGAGATGCCACAGAGATTGAGTTCGAAGGGAATTTCAAAGATTCGACGAGTGTCATTATAAATGCTATGAAAGGCGGGGTTGATGTGGGATTTGGCTACGTGGCGCAGAATTTGACAGGTGAGGAAATGCCCCTTGGAAGAGTCCTAATGCTGCGTAGGAATTCATTTTCCGGCTTGATCACGTGGTCATGTAAACGCAAACTGCTCTTAAAACTGCTGTAAAAATCAAGTGGTCGCCTGATATCAACCGGGAGTTAGAAATAAGCAGAAGAAAGGTGTAATCTCTTCCCTTCCCTCACAGACCCGGGTTCCAGGGTGGCGAAGGTGGGGGACGCCAGCGCCCCGTCCCTGAGGGTGGACCCAGGGGCGCGAGGCCAGGTGGAAGTCCCTGGGAAGCCTCCCTGCGTGGGAGGCTCTGGCCCTTGCTACTACGTCGGCCAGAGCGACCCCCCGCCCCCCCTCTGCGAGGACCTTCCCAGGATCAGATTCTGCGACGCCGTGGTGTCGGAATTGCAGAGTGAGTGGCGGGCTCTCCGCTCGGCGCCGCCGGCGGGCGCCACTCGCGGGCCTGTTGCTCGGCAGCGGGCTGGGAGGGAGGGCGCCGTGGCCTCGGCAGCGGGGCTGGGAGGGAGGGCGCCGTGGCCTCGGCAGCGGGGCTGGGAGGGAAGGCGCCGTGGCCTCGGCAGCGGGCTGGGAGGGAGGGCGCCGTGGCCTCTGGGAGGGAAGGCGCCGTGGCCTCGTGGGAGGGAGGGCGCCGTGGCCTCGGCAGCGGGGCTGGGAGGGAGGCGCCGTGGCCTCGGCAGCGGGGCTGGGAGGAGGGCGCCGTGGCCTCGGCAGCGGGCTGGGAGGCGCCGTGGCCAGCGGGGCTGCGCCGTGGCCTCGGCAGCGGGGCTGGGAGGAGGGCGCCGTGGCCTCGGCAGCGGGGCTGGGAGGGAGGGCGCCGTGGCCTCGGCAGCGGGGCTGGGAGGGAGGGCGCCGTGGCCTTGGGAGGCGCCGTGGCCTCGGCGGGGCTGGGAGGGAAGGCGCCGTGGCCTCGGCAGCGGGGCTGGAGGAAGGCGCCGTGAGCGGGCTGGGAGGGAAGGCGCCGTGGCAGCGGAGGAAGGCGGTGGCCTCGCAGCGGGCTGGAGGAAGGCGCCGTGGCCTCGGCAGCGGGGCTGGGAGGGGCGCCGTGGCCTCGGCAGCGGGGCTGGGAGGGAGGGCGCCGTGGCCTCGGCAGCGGGGCTGGGAGGGAGGGCGCCGTGGCCTCGGCAGCGGGGCTGGGGGAGGCGCCGTGGCCTCGGCAGCGGGGCTGGGAGCGCCGTGCCTCGGCAGCGGGGCTGGGATGGCGGCAGCGCGCCGTGGCCTCGGCAGCGGGGCTGGGAGGGGCGCCATGGCCTAGGCAGCGGGTGGAGGGAAGGCGCCGTGGCCTCGGCAGCGGAGGGAGGCGCCATGGCGGCAGCGGAGGGCGCGTGGCCTCGGCAGCGGGGCTGGGAGGGAAGGCGCCGTGGCCTCGGCAGCGGGGCTGGGAGGGGCGCCGTGGCCTCGGCAGCGGGGCTGGGAGGGAGGGCGCCGTGTCGGCAGCGGGGTGAGGGAAGGCGCCGTGGCCTCGGCCGCTCTCCCGTTTTCTTCCTGTTTTTCTGTTTAGCGTGGCGATGACCCGTCCGTACATGTCTGTGTTGTATTCGCATTTCTCTCCCATCCCTGCAGCATACTTTACATTCCTTTATTCCAAGGTGGCGTTCTCGTCCTGCGGAAAACGAAATAAAATTTATAATGTTTATAGTTACAACAAAGGAAATTTGTCTAGGTTTAAAGAAGTGCCTTTACTGCCCAGAAATAGAAAATATTTCCATACAGCCTTTTCCATATAAAACTGGCTAATGCAATGAAATATGAAAATCTCATTCTTTTTATAAATTGTTACACAGTATGAACTATACTCTTGCCTATGGTAATTGAGCAAGTTGTCTTGATTTCCTTCCAACGTTCTGCCAGACTCCTGTCCCTCGTATTCACGCCCCCCCCTCCCCCCAGACCCGGCCGAGGTCCCGACCCTGGAGCTCCGCAACCGGCAGGAGCTGCGAGTGCAGCAGCCCCGGCCCGACGGAGCGTGGACTGAGGTCGTGGTCTCCAGCTCGCGGGACGACTCCATCCTGCCTCCCGACGGCTTCGGCTGCGACGAGCTGGGCGACGGGACGTGCGCGCACCCTGTGGCCGTCGCCGACGACCTGGACGGCTTCGACGTGACGCTCGTCGTGCTGGACGACGAAGGTTACGTCACGGCGTCGCTCGCCGTGCCCTTCGAAGGTGCTCTCCTTGGCTTTATGGTTGTTGTTGCTGGCATTCGCCGCCGACAAATGCTTGTTTATAATTGTTATTTGTTTATTTCAAGTTCAGAAGTGCTTGTGGTGCTGTTACGGCTTTTCATTCTCATTTGTTAGTATCCTTATTGTCATCAGAACGCTAAAACCGGTTCAGGAGACCGTAATAAGAGAAGGAATCTAGTAATCATAACAGATAAACAAATGCGTTAAAAGGCGGAATGCGGAGAGACACAAGGCCTTCTTTCTCGCGAAGAGGAGAGGTCCTTCGTGTCCTTCCCGTCCCTGACTCAAGGGCCAGCTAACGAGCGCCTCCTCGCGCCCGCAGTGCACGGCGTGGCCGCGCTCTCGCTCTCCCAGGACGTCCTGCAGGTGGCGGTCGACCCTCGATCGGGGGGCGCGTACGAGGTCACGCTGGCCGGCCCCTCGCCCCCTCCCGCGGCCACTCTGGAGTGCCAGGCTGGGTCACCGTGTCGTGTCTGGTTCGCTGGGGTGGACGCGCCCCCCGCGGTGACCGTCAGGAAGGGGTCCAACGCCATCTATGAGGCTACATCAGGTATTAGTTTATCACTGCTGCTTAGTCTTTGTAAATAGCGACACATTGACTTTAGATGATGCTTCGGTTCCCGTGCTATTTATTAATTCTCGAGCGCTTCTGCTCCTATTTTTGATCGTCGCCTTTTACTTTTTACTGTTACTTTTTGCTTTGTAAAACACATAAAGGCGCAAGTCGCATGCGACTCAAACCCCGCTCCCGCAGGCTCGCCTCCCCCGGCGTCCCGGGTCGAGCGCCTGACCTCGCGCGACGCCGACGCCAGGATGGACGTCGAGGTGGCGAGCGACCAACCCGTGACCCGCGCCGACCTCCTGACCTTCAAGAACGACGTCGCCACGGACGCCGACTGCGAAAGCCTCGCGGCGACGCCCTCGAAGTCCGGCTACTCCGTGGCTGCTTCCTCGCGCGGCGCAGGAGACTGGAACTTCTTGGTCGTGGGATACGACGACGACGGGGCCCTGCTGGAGGCCGGCCGCGCGCACGTGACCCTCTCAGGTAAGGGCCTCTGCTCTTCCTCTGGCTTAGGAACTGTGGTTTTACGTGGCACTCTTTCGCCCATTTGCCGTCTGCAGTGCCACCACCAATGCGTGTTATGAGAAAAGGGTGAGGTATTTTAATGGAAATCAATACTAATCACATTATCAATGGCTTTAGCTTTTGTTTGTTCACCTCTGGACCACAAAACCTGTAATGCTAAAGTCTCAAACACAAGCATGGTTGTTATACTGACGACGGCGGGGACTCTGCCGCCCTGGCCTTCGGGAAAGATGTCACCTTCGAAGGCATATGAAGTGTGATTTTTTTTGCATAGATGATGCTCTTGCCACAGATGGTGATGGTGAGCGGGATCAGATGAATATGAAGACGAATGCATTGTTACTGATAAAGACTACTTTTAAAGTTATATGATTTTTGTTATTATTGTTTTCAACATTACTTGATCTTTGTTTGTCAATGCGCTCCTTACTATCATGATTGAGACATGGCTAACACAAGCATCATAAGACACATTCCTTCCCATCTTCCTCCAGATATATTGCTCCCTCGGATGACGAAAGTGGGGACAGAGGCCCTCCAGTCCCTCAAAGTGGAGACGGGAGAAATGGATGTCAAAGTGAACGGCTTCCTGTGTCCAGCCAGCACAGTCTGCTACGATTTGGAGCCAGAAAACATCCTGGAGCCTCCCGAAGTCTGCAGGATGGCCGCCCCGAATATCGAGCAGTGTGACATGACGGCAGCATACATACAGCCAGAGTGTAGGTTTACGCGAACCAAAATGAAAGCAAAAACGCAAGTTCTAATACTAATTTGCCGCCGTATTTTATTTCATGTCTGTTTCGTTTCTGTACTTGTTCCTGTTAAGTCAGTGACTCTCAACCGGTGCATCTCAGGTGTTGCGTTTACCCTACTGCATAGTATTTTGCAAAAGTGAACTTTTTGCTTTTGGAATTGCAGTCTCCCTATATCTGAAGCATTAGGAATATCTGTTCATGTAAGTTTCCCAGTAACTGGACCTTATTAAGTTTTCTAAGGAAAGGAAAATAAAACTCGGCCTATAAATATATACTACATTCGTATTTGTGCATTGATGGCGCAAAGAGCGACTTAAAAGTGTAGGATATATCCTATATGCCATCTGACGAACATCAGTGATACTAAGAGATTAATACATTAAGAGGAGAGGTGAAAGTATAAAAGAAGAAAACGGAGCCAATGAAAATTAGAAATGACAACTGATCAACCCCGTTTTCCTTCTAACAGCTCTGATCAATCCGTTGGTTCAGCTGAGCTTCACCGGGGCGCCTGAGGAGGACCTGATGATCACCGCTGAATTCTCCGAAACGTCGCTCACAATGGAAGCGAAACTCTACACAAACTCGGAGGTTCTGACACCGAAGCCGCTAACCTGTGAGATCACAGGCCGGTCTCCAAAGACCTGCACATTTAAGGTTGAGCCAAAAGTGACGGAATTTAAGATTTTGCTGATGGCGTTAGATTCTGCATCAACTGTGGATGAATCGACTGTTGTGGAATTTGAAGGTAATTATTTTTCTTCAGTATCTTTTGTAAAGGGACCTTATTTTCTTTAATTTTGGCCGATAACATAAATTCATATACACTAGCTTAGAGGTAGTAACAGGTGACAAAACACACAAAAAGATGAAGAATATATATATATATATATATATATATATATATATATATATATATTATATATATATATATATATATATATATATATATATATATATATATATTTATATATATACCTTCCAGATTTCCAGACTCGAATTCAACAGCTGACATCAGATGCCATCGAAGTCCGTTGGCGAGCTTCGCACAACCAGAAATACGACGTCGAAATCGCTCCTGAAATTGAAGGCAAATTCAGCAACACTTCTGTGATCTGTGGAGGTGAAAAGCCTGAAGACAGTAAAATGTGCCTGGCTTACTTTATCGGGCTGAATTTGAACGAAGATTATACTGCAGGTGTGAGGGCACAAGGTGACAGGGAATCTGTTTCGGCCTCAGTGAAGGTGGAAACTGTTCTGGAAAGTAAGTGCACTTAGTACCTTGTAGCTCTTTGTATCCTCAATTGTCACAACCTATCATCTGTGAGTGAATATGTACATTTTCTTATCACATTAAGATTCTGATATCATAATTTAAGTATTCTACATTTTTTTCACAAATAAATCCACCAATATGACTGGTCTTTGTGGAATAGCATAGTACCAAATGCATCCAGCAACGGAGTCTCTATGTAGTGTCTTGTCTTTCTTCCAACGTCACGCAGCAATAAACATAACAGAACTGACATTGACAACAACTGGAGAAACAAGAGGTCTTACCGTGTGTTTTATGGAAAGTCGTGAAGAGAGAAAACAAAATGAGGAAGGAAATATTGTAAACAAGTTAGTGGCGGTGGATGCCAATGGTCGGCAAGTACAGATGGTGTCGAAGTCCTCTCACTCATCCGTTTCTGATGTCGAGGAAAAGCTGTGTCTTGGTCCCCTGCATCTCGACCTTGACTTCGACCTGAGTAACAAGGTCTGGATTCTTGTGTCACGTGAGAATCTCGACACCCAAGAAACTCTGTCTGGAGGCGCTGAGCTTTTCCTTTTGGGTGAGTGTCCATCTTCGCAAATAGAAGTGTCTTACTTTGCACTGTTGGAAGGCCCTGGTACTCTCCTCCATGTACAATACGATTCATCGTTTTTTATCAGTTTTATCTATTCATTTTCGACTTCATATATCTGTTTCTCCATCTTCTTTCCAGTTTCCTTCTCTCCTGCACCCTATCTGTCTGTGTCTCTATCTCCATCGATCATTACTTATGGCACTGTTTCTATTCCTCTCTTGTGGTTAATCATTATAATTTAAAGAATTGCTAAATTATTTATTTATCCATTGTTCAGCCCTATAGAAAACATCTAGCATATACACGGATGATTATCTATTCTCCCTTTCTTATGTGCTATTTACTCCCAAATCCTTTAATCTCTTTCACCAGTTTTCTTTCTCTCCCCATCTGTCTAGCTTTCCCTCAATCCTCACTAACTGTACTACTACTTCTGCATATCTCTATGATAATCCAATCACAAAAAATGGGAAAACGGTATTAATTACTGACTGATTCATCATTTACTGTAGACCTCAATGACGTGAGCCAAGTGGGCGCGAAGACCTTGCGGGCGACTTGGACCAACAGGAATGGCGCCCCCAGCTTCGAGGTCGGGATGGGCGTCGGCGACTTCATGTCCGTGGAGTGTGGCGTTGGGGAGGACGCCAAAGAAGAGTGCTTGCGATACCTCCATGCGGAAGGCACAAGCAAGCAAGTCACAGTTACGTTGAGGGAGATTGGGCTTAGTGTGCAACAAGAAGTGCAGGTTACCTTTACATTGAAGGAATTAACAGGTATTTTGATTTTTTTTTGTAGTTTCCCAATGACACAAGTAATATTCACTTCATGAAAATTGTAATTTCAATCTCTAACCCAAATAGTGCAGAATAGATGAATGAGCTATCGGCATTCATTAATATATTTTGGGTAAATCCTCAATAACCAGCTAGTCAAAGCTGTTTACATCGGTAGAAAAATATATTTCAGTAATGCTATTTCAAGGACAGTCTTTAAGGTTCAGTGCAGAAAAATAGTGCCTTCTTTAGCACGCGCATCTCTCCTATCTTGTCGCATCCCTCTGTCTTGACTCCTGTCTCGACATCCCTAGACATAAGAATAACCAAGACGGAACTAAATCGGGACAGTCGTCTGCGCGTGTGCTTTGAGTCCGACTTGAAGGACTCGCTTTACCTCCTGGCCTTGGAGAACGAGGAGGGCGACGTCCAGGAGTTCCCCCAGCTTCGCCCCTACGTGGAGGACGGCCTCACCTGCGTGTTGAGCAATGACGCGATACAGGAAGAAGGATACGTGGCATTGCGGACTCTCTTAACAGCCTACGACGTCTCTGGTACAGAAGTGCAAGCCTCTGGGAGTACTAACGTCACTGGCATTTGTGAGTTTGTGTTATGGTCCTATTTTAGATGGATTTAAAAAGATATGCGAGCCGTGTTTTTTTTCTGTGTGTGTGTGTGTTAGACAAGAGCAAGGGCGCCTTCGGTTCTCCTCCTCTGGAAAGCGACTCATTGGGTTCTCCTCCTCTTGTCCTCAGTCCTGAATCCCAGAAGCAAAGTCAGCGCGGCCTTGAACTCCGACACGTACGGCCTCCTCGTGTCCTGGTTCCTCCTCGGCGACCCCAGCAGCATCAGCTCCTACGACGTGGCGCTCGAGGAGACCGCGGCAGGAGGCAGCAACAAGCCGGTGACCGTAGGAAACACTGAATCGTCCCTCGTCTTCAGCGACACGAAGCCGGGACGCTACTCCGTGTGCGTCGCGGCATCTGTGGAGGAACATAACATGACCAGCGAAAGAGTGTGCAGTGCTATTCTCTCCATACCTCAGGAGGATGGTAAGAGGCCTTCGCCTTTTAAGGTTTGAATAAATCAGTAAATGGTTGTATATATATTTATATGTATATATATATATATGTATATATATGTGAGGGTCTTCAAAAAGTTCGTGGAAAAAGTCCATAACTAAAAATTATTTGGGTTTTGATTATAATGCACCGTATATATATATATATGTATACACACACACACACACACACACACACATATATATATACACACACATATATATGTGTGTGTCTTGGTGTATATATATATATATATTATATATATTATATAATATAATATATATAAATATATATATATATATATATATATTATATATATATATATATATATATATATATATATACACACATCTCTCTCTCTCTCTCTCTCTCTCTCTCTCTCTCTCTCTCTCTCTCTCTCTCTCTCTCTCTCTCTCTCTCTCTATATATATATATATAA